CCAACATGGGCCAGTGAAGCAGCGTCCTCCACAACTAGACTGAAGAACAAAAGGACAGCAACTTGTCTGTTCCCCTTCCCCGATTCCCCAACGCTGTTTCCTCCCCCAATTCCCCAATAAAATCTTAAAAAAAAATTATACATATTTTTACATACACCAAAAGTAGAGACAAAAGCACACATTTCTCTAAACCCATCACCCAGCTTCAATGGTGGTCCACATTTTGCTATTTTTGTTTCAGTCATACTCCCTGACATCTGGTAGGAATATTTGAAAAGTCAATTCCAGACACCATTTAACATGGCCATAATGCCATTATTTCACTTCCCAGGATGTACAATTATTCCTTAATATCATCTAATACACCTTCGGGGATCCATTTCCCCAGATGCTCTCAGGAAAGTATTTTTACAGTCGATTCTTTTGGACAACTGCTCTGGCTCCACATTGCAGGGGTTGAAAGAAACTTTTTAATCAAAAGAGTCTCCCTGCTCCCTGCTTTTATGCCAGGTATTTGTTGAAGAGGCGAGGTCAGTTGTCCTGCAGATGGCCCTACATCCTGGATTTAGCTGATTACTTTCCTGTGGTTTCATTTAACATGAAGATAAGAATGTTCCTCTTACAGCTAAGAGAGCCAATAATATCGTAATGACCATGTACGGTGATAGATGGGTACTAGACTTATTGTGGTGATGACTCTGTGAGGTATATTAATGTTAAGTCACTATGTTGTACACCTGAGATTAATATAATATTGTATGTTGTATGTCAACTATAATTAAAAATAAAATTTAAAACAACAAAAGAATGTTCCTCTTACCTCTTTTACTTAGAACTAGAAGAAATAGGTTTTGGTGAGACTTCATCTGTGATTCCCAGAGGTGGGGTCGATGGGTCAAAGGGTATGTGCATTTAAAATTTTGACATGTAGAAGGTTATTCAAATTTGCACTAACTGCCTTCCCTGCCCACCATGGATGGGCACGCCCGTTCTCCTCCATCAGCTCCATCAGAGCTGACTCCCAGATTATCATATTTTGAACGTGTGATAATTCTTCTGGCCACAAGAGGCCAGCAAGGCCCAGCACATTGGACCCACGCGACAGGCTGGATCCTGGGCTTTGGTTCCTGTCTTGGAGGCGGGCCGGGATCAGGGGTGTCCAGTAATCAAGAGGTGGGTAGGTGGGGCAGAGGGGCTGGGCCTGTCACAGAGGCCCCATGAGAGAAGGGCTAAACGTCAGAGCTGGTGGAGTATAAGTACTCCAGCTCTGTTCTTCTTTGGGTATTGTTATATTTTCATTTTACAATTTTAGAGCTGGATTACCTTCGTTTTAGAAATGAAAAACCTGAGGCCCAGGGAGAGAGCGTGAGGTGTCTGAGGTAACACAGCATCCGACTGGACCAGGCCCAGGCCCTCGCCTCCGGCTTCTCCACTCCAGCGCTCCCTGGGGTGGGAAAAATTCAGGGTCAGTGGTTCCGCAGTTGTAACCGTTAAGAAAAGCACACTCTAGAAAAGCACAATCCAGCAGTACCCGTCTAGATAAACTTGACTTTTTGCGTCTCTTAAACGTGTGGAGCAAAAACAAAAGTTTTGAAACCTACTTTCCATATCACACCAGTTTTTGTAAACATTTTGAGCATGATATTTTTGTCTTTGCCCCACGTGAAAATTTAAATAAAAATCTGGAGGATTTTAAATAAAAATCTGGAAGTCACCTCATCCTCTGGCAAGATGTTTGGTAGTTTTCTTATGACGAGTCAGGTTCTTATTCTTGATACCGTTTGCCTGTTTTTTGGTTTTTAAAATCTAAGCTCCCAAGTCAACGGAGGGCCTGGATTTGAACTTGGCTCCATCCTCTAAGAAAGTCTCTTTAGCTCCAGTGTTCTCTTTGAGAACGAGACTGTTGGATTTGAATGTTGCCTGTGGGCCCCTGGTGAACGCACGCGTGATACCAGTCTCTCCAGCTCCGGGGTTTGGACTGCAACTTCTGAGCATGCAGGACTGAGATAAGCGGTGTCTAGAAGACAAAAACCAGAGGACCCCGACCTGGCCTCAACACCTCCTCACCCAGTTTACTGCCTGCTCTCTGCTGCTCTGGAAGTTCAGGGTTTGGATTCCTGGCTAAGTCAGGAGCGGAGCAGAGGCCAGAAGGGCCTTTTGTTTGGAGGAGGTGGGAGGCTGGGAAGAGAGTAAAGGGGACCCAGGAATGGCGGGCCAGGCAGTTCAGAGCAGTAAGGTCCGAATCAGTGGAAGCTCTGATCAGGAATGAGGGGTGTCCCTCTAGGCTGTCAGCCCCTCAGCAGATTCCTCACCCACCGGGGGCCTCTTTCCTGCAGCTGAACCACTGACTGATGGAAGGGATGTAAAGGCCCAATTCGCTCACCCCTGGGGAAAACCTTGAAGGGTCTCCAGAGCTTCAGAACTCCCCTCCAGGCCTGCTGAGGCCACTGTCAAGAGAGCCCTGCAGCCCAGCCTCTCCCTCTGCCTCTTCCTGCCTTCCCCCGCCCCCCTGCCCCTGCTGTGACCCCACGAATAGCCCCTTAATAAATCTCCTCATGCTAATCTCATCTCAGAGCCTGCTTCCTGGGAACTCAGCCAGCAACAAGCTCCTTCCTGGGAGCTGCTTCTCTCCTCTCTGGGAAGACCTGAAACTGGCTCAGGGTGAGGGGGGGGCAAGCCTGGAAGAAGGAAGAGCCCCCCACGGCTTCCCTGGCTGGGCAGTGGCTGGACAAGGCCTGGCCCATCAGGTCCAGGGCCCAGCACACTGCAGGCTGAACAAAGCATGAAGCTTTGGAGTCCAGGTCTCCGTGAGGACAGAGGACAGAGGAACCTGTTGGACTATCTCCCCAGCAGTTATATATACACACGTATAAAATAAAATCTGGACTATATATGCTATACAATCTGAGATATATATGTATACATATAAACTATTTTTAATATGTATGTGTATCTATACATACACACACATGTAGATAAGATATAGGTATATAGATACTATTTAAAGGTACCGGAGAGTGACTAGAGCAGACAGAAATAGGAGGGACTCTTGAGAGACAGTGACATTTGCAAGTTCATGGCTCTGTGCACGAGGACATCCCCCAAATCCTATAGCCTTTCTGGTTTAGAGTGTCAGAGGTTGAAGTAAGGGGCTGACAGAAGATCCAGAAAGTTTTTTGGGGGGGTGATTCTGGAAGGGGAGGAGCTACAGAGGGGTTGAGCTGTTGAGCTGTAGAATCTGCATTTGAAATCCACCTAAACTTCAGCTCACCACTAAACTGAGCGGCGATTTCAACCACCGAGGAGGCTGAGTTTTGAGTCTATATGACTTCCTGCTAAAACAAAAAGTCAATACTCTTCAGAGGAACATAACAAAATTCAGAATCTCTGCAATGTGCCATTTATAATGTCCAGTATCCATTAAAAAAAATCACTAGACTTGCAAAGAAATAGAAAAATGCAACCTATTACAAGGAAAAAAAAAGTCAATAGAAATCAAACCAAAGTGGCCCAGATGTTGCAATTAGCAGACAAGGACTTGAAAGCAGTGATTGTAAATATGTTCAAGAACTGAAAAAAAGTGATTACTGAACAGAAAAGGGACTCAGCAGAGAAATGGAAACACAACAAAGAACCACACAGAAATTTTAGAGCTGAAAAGTATAATAACTGGAATCAAGAAGAAATGGATTCACTCATGCTTTAACCCCTATGGCTGGTTGTTCTGAGGTTGGTGGGCCAAGAACCTTTATTTACACTTATGAAGCTGGATGACATGGCACAGTGGTGGTGAGCTTGGGTTCTGGAGGCAGATGATCTGGGTTCAAAGCCCAGCTCCACATTTATTAGCTATGTGTCTTAGAGTAAGTCAACCAGCTTCGCCAAGACTTGGTTTCCTTGCCTCTATCACTGGGTGTATAATATACTTGAGTGCCTCATTGGGAGCCTAGAAGGCTAATGTGACACGTGGTTAAGATTATCCCTAAAAATTCTTTCTTTTTTTTTAAAGATTTTTTTTTATTGGGGAATTGGGGGGATGGGAACAGCGCTGGGGAATTGGGGAAGGGGAACAGACAAGTTGCTGTTGTTTTGGTCTTCAGTCTAGTTGTGGAGGACGTTGCTTCACTGGCCCAAGTTGGCACCATCACTGCGCTCTTCCCGGGTGAGGCAGATCAGTCGCCGACTTCTGGACGGCCTCTCACAGCAGCTGCTGGCCGCTCACGCTGGCTGCTGGCTGCTCACGCTGGCTGCTGGCTACATACGGTAGCCCATGGCAACCCACTGCCACAGGGACTGCAGCCTACGCCATCGCCGGCGACTCACGGCAGCCCAGCTCCAGGTTGAGCTGTTGTTCAGCATCTTAGCTGTGAGGGCAGTGTCACTGGCCCTCATATGTGGGATCCGAACCGGGGCCCTCTGGCGTCCCAAGCCAGTTCTTAATCATTGCGCCACTTGGCCGGCCCCTTAAAAAATCCTTTCAGTCACCCATAGAGTATAGCAACACACTCACCCTGTATTGTGATGCTCACCCCAACTAAGTATTGAGACCCGCTTGGGCTACACTCAAGGTTGAAAGCAAAAAGCAGCCTCAGTGTAGATATCTGAGCTTTCAAATATGTATGCATTCAAGATACCTGCCACACCCCTAGTGGTGAGAAAGGGTGATGGAGGATTTAAAAATTGTTCACTTAGGCACACTGGGCAGCTCCCACCCTTCACCTCCAGGGCAGGTGGCTCAGTGGATGAGCACTGGCCTCTAGACCCAGACTCCCTGGGTCTGACTCCTGACTTCTCTGTTTGCCATTGACTTTAGGTGAGGGATTTAACCTCTTTCGTACCTCAGTTCCTCCTTTTGAACACCAGACACACCATGGTTCACCCAAAACAACTTGGCAATAAATAGGAATGAACGGCTGATACATGCAACAACTTAGATGGACCTCACAGGCATTATGCTGACTATCAGAGGATATCAAAAATATCAAGGGCATTATTTCGATTACAGACTGTCTGATTCCATTTATAGGAAGTTCTAGAACAGGCAAAACTAATCAGAACAGTGGTTGCCTCTGTGAGTGGGGTGGGGACTGACTGGCATAGGGCATGAAGGAACTTTCTGGGGTTCTATATCTTGAAAGGGGTTTGGCTTACACATGTGTATGCATTTACCAAACATTAGCAAGTGTTTACTTGAGATTTGTACAACTCACTCTTTGTAAATTTCCCCTCAAAAAAGGACCATAAACATATGTTCAACCCTAGTTAATGATACACATGTCGAAGTGTCTATCATGATGTCTGCAAACTACTTTGAAAGGCATCAGAAGAAAAAGGTGGATTGCTGGATGGATTGAGGAATAGACACATGATAGGATAAGAGGTTAATGGTAAGTTCTGGGTGGTGGGTATATATGTTCACTGTACAATTCTCTGAACTTTTCTGCGTGCTTAAAAAAGTTCAAGAACATGTTGGCAATATTATTCGGTTGTCGGAAAAGTCATGACATATTTTTTCTGTTTTTCGTTGCAAAAATGCGTCATGACTTTTCCGACAACCCAATAATTGCCAGTGATTTGTCTTTCTTAGCGGTACATAAAAGTGCACCTTATAGTGGATGCTGTCTTCACTTTGATGAATGTGGCATTATCATGAAGAAGCTGGGGCTCAGCCAGGAACTGGGCACTGCCCCCAATGATTGCCCTTCCCCCATTTCCTTTTGAAGACATGTGGGTTCTGCCTCCCAGAATTTCTATGCTCTGCTCCCTCAGCTCAGCTCCTGCCCTAAGTGGTAGCCTATTCTTCTGTGGGTACCAAAGTCACATCCTCCTGTAGCATGCGGAGTGTCACTCACTGGCTCCCTTGATTAAAACTATTTATTTGCTTCTTCAATCAATGCCTAGAGGATAGAGTCCAGACCCCCACTCAGGTTTCAGGAACTGGCAGGACCTCAGCCACGCCATACTGCTCCATGCCACTGAGCCTTTCCAGATGCTGTTCCCTTTGCCTGGAAGGCACTTCCTCCCCAGGCTGCCTCCTGTCCTCATGGCTAACTTCTATCCATTTTACAAGCGTCAGCTGAGAAGTCCTCCCAGTCTTCCCCCCATCCCTGTCCCCAGGCAAAGTGGCTTCCCCTTCCTGCCCCCCCCCAAGACCTGGCCTGCCCCTTGGTTGTTGCTTCACCAGGTGTGGCCTCCCCCGTCCACCCGTGTGCCCCAAGCAGGGAGGCAGACACACTGAAAGAGAAATACTGAAAAAGAGCAGGGGGTTAGGAGTGAGCTTGGCCTGGGTTCGAGACCCAGCCCCAGCCCTTTCTACCTGTCACCAGCTGCCTCTCCAAGCCTCAGGTGGCTGATCAGTGGGTGAATGGAAATAATTTTTCTGGTTGTTGGAAGGATTCATGAGATGAGGTATGTGAAGAGTCAGGCATGTGGCATTTATTCAAATTCACTGAGTGAATGAAAAAACGGTTTTCCATGGTCTCGTGTCACTTCTGTCATAACAGACCCTAAGCTCTAGGTGGCCGGGACTACGCCGTCTAGGTCCCTTCCAGCTCCGACACACTGCTAGGCACATAGTTCGTAGTAACTGACTGGGGGTTAAAGTCACCAGGAGGGAGGGGGAGAATCGGCCAGAGGGTGCAGTGGGGTCCCAGGGACAGGCAGACGGCAGAGGCTGGCCTCGGGGAGGAGGCTGTGATGTGGTCAGGGTCCCGGGACGGGGAGAGAAGCCTGGGTGGTTGGGAGGACTTGATCTCACCTGCCTGCTTCCCACGGGCCCCTCTGCAGAGCTGGGGACTCAGTAAGGCTTAATCAGTGTTTGCTCAACAGTGTGGGGGCTTTAGGGCTAGACAGACATAGGTGTGGTGTCCAGTCCAGCTGGGTGGCTTTCTGGTCATGTTTCCTGGTCTGTAAGTTAAAAACAGCAATACCTACCACGTTACGGAGCGGATTAAAGGGGAAACCAAGTTTAGTAATAACGTCGAGCCTGAGACCACAGAGCTAACAGGAGGCTGGCTTACACTAAAGGGAGAACTCCTCAGGGACCACTCTCAGGGCAAGGAGTGGTTAGCAATGAGCATAGTTGGACTTCTGACGGAGGGGAGCAGACCCCGGCCCTGTGAAAGCCCCATAGTGGGGAGCCCCTGGTGCCCACCTCATCTCCTCTCTCACACACACACACACACACACACACACACACACACAGCCCAACCCTGACTCCAGCCTCAGGAGTCAGGCCCTCGGTTGCCATAACAACTGGATCCCGGCAGTAAAAATAGTAACTTATTTCTTATTCAACTTCTTTTGCTCTTGGAGAACAAGAAAATCCATTTCTAGGCTTGTGTTTCCTTTTAGGGGTCTCCTCTGGAGCCCTGCTGAGCCCACTGCCAAGGTCAGCTTGAAGGTCAACCGCAGGCAGAGCCAGGAGCCTGGGGAGGCCCGTCCCAATCCTTTGCCTCCCTCAGCCTCTGGGAAGCTG